TTTATGAATGAAATCATCACATCGAGTAAAATCATATGATATTCCACTTCGTTCACATAGAGCAGTGCTATGTATCTCGGTTTCAAAGAGGAGGACTCGAGTTCGAGACTTGCGGTAAGTAATTTAAAACATGTAATTTAAATCAAATATTTGACCATTTTCAAACATTTATCTTTCGACGACGCAGCAGCTCATAATAAATAAGAAGAGAACGTGTTAAGCAGCAAAATGATAGAGATATTTGTTTTTTATTTAGGTTTGTTGATTTCTTTCAAGTTTTCTTTTTGGGCTGAATAGCAGTCCCTCCAACGGTTAAACGAACCTTTTGTGAACTTTCAAGTTCTTTTTAAAAGTGAAACAGCATTCTGCTAGAAGCTTAAATATCGAATGTGAACTTGGAAGTTCGGTTAATTACTTAAAAAGTAAGCTGAATAGAATTCTCTTCATAATCCTTCGATTAGCTGATTAAGCCAAAAAAGGGCTGTTATCCGAACTTTGGTTGCTTGGATATTAGCCTTCCGTGCTATAACCCCCCTCGTGTACGCTTTACTAACCACAGTTCACCCATTGACTATGATCTTTACATGGAACAGGCTATTTAAGGAGTTCCAGATCAACTTCGACCTATCTCAATTCCCCGTATTTTTGCTGAAAAGTATCAACAAGTCAATTGCAATAGAAGATGGCTTCGGTGTCTTCCATGAATATTCAACCGCCTTCTGGGAACTTCAGGAAGCTTGTTTCGTTTATGTTACTGAGCTAGCAGCAATCAACTTCGCATTGGGGATGATTTCCGACATGCTCACAGACCATTCCATTACTTCATCTTCTCGGATAGTCTCAGTTCGATTGAGGCTATTCGGTCGATGAAACAAGGTAGGCACTCATCTTATTTCCTTTCAAAGGTAAGGGACCAGATGAGTTTTCTGGTCGAAAGATCATATATGATTACCTTTGTATGGTTGGGCTACAAAATGGTGAGTGACAATCGGGAAGGAGCGATATACCTAGCTCCGGTCCTCACAAGTTCCTACCTCACGCCTCCACGAGTCATATGATCACAAAAGACTGCTAGCTGAAACATGGACACAGCTGGTTGGCGTAGCCTGGGCAATGTTGTCAATCCGACAATAGCAGAGTGAGGAGGTGCGACGCGAACACTGGCGCGGTAACCATATCACGGTGAAAGAGGAAATGCTTCGCCAACCCGAGCGTCTGTTCACCATAGAGGTGCGGCTCAAACAGCGTCTGACCCGCATCCAGCGGCTGAATAAGAAATGCTCTTCCCCGGAAGCTACACCTAAGATGGCAGCCCCATCACGGCGGATAGGAGACCTTAGGCCAACCACCTACTGTCTCTAAAACCTTTACAATTGTTACAGAAACCAACAGAGAAAGACATCGAACTGATATAACGGCAACGACTTTTAGCGCAAAACAACGGACACGAATTGGATCATGGAATGTATTGACGTTAGCCCAGCAGGGTAAACTGGCACAACTTGCCAACGAGGCGCGACGCATGAAGCTAGAAATCCTGGGACTGAGTGAAGTTCGTTGGCCAAACTTTGGAGAACACAAACTGCCGTCGGGACAGGTACTACTATACTCTGGTATTCGAGGTGAAAACGCTCCCCGCCATCGTGGAGTTGGTCTCCTACTTAGCGTCAAGGCAAGTGCTGCGCTCATCAAGTGGGAGCCTGTTAATGAGAGGATAATCGTTGCCAGATTTAGAACACGGGTTCGTAACCTTACCATAATCCAATGTGATGCGCCAACCGATGCTGCCGAGCTACAGGACAAGAAGAATTTTTACAGTCAACTGAATGCCGTCGTGGATAAGGTTCCAAAGGGTGACATCAAGATCTACACTGGCGACTTCAATGCGAAGATCGGCTCCGACAACACGGACTATGAGCGTGTCATGGGACGCCATGGTCTCGGCGAAATGAGCGAGAACGGTGAGCTGTTTGCAGAATTTTGTGGCAATAACGACATGGTGATCGGGGGCTCGCTCTTCCCCCATCGGCCAGTGCACAAAGTCACGTGGGTTTCCCGTGATGGACATACCGAAAATCAGATCGACCACATCTGCATCAGCCGAAAATGGAGACGGAGCCTTCTTGATGTTCGGAATAAACGCAGCGCCGACCTTCTAATCGGTGAAATCCGCCTACGCATGGCGCGGATCCAGCGACGGGAGGAGAGACTCGGGCGGCGGTTCAACACACGCCGACTTGAAGATCCAGCGGTAAAAAGGTCTTTTGTTGAAGAACTTGAGACTCGAGCTGCGGACGTTCCAGAAGGTGGCAGCGTAGAAGAACAATGGACGGCCATCAAGAATGCCTTTATAGAAACAAGCGAGAACAACTTGGGTGAGCTGCGCACCCAGAGGAAAGAGTGGATCACAGATGAAACCTGGCGGAAGATTGAGGAGCGTAGAGAAGCAAGAGCCGCGATAGAGCGGGCGAGAACCAGAGGAGCCAAGAACGAAGCCCGTCAACAGTACTCGGCTCTAGAGAAGGAAGTCAAGCGCTCTTGCAGACGGGACAAGCAAGCGTGGGTGAACTCCCTGGCCGACGAAGTGGAGAAAGCCGCAAACACTGTCGATATACGCCTCCTCTACGATATCTCACGACGCCTGAGTGGAGCAAGGATGAACCCGAGGATGCCAGTGAAGACACGACTGGACAATTGCTTACCGACCCCACTGACCAGCTGAAACGCTGGTTTGAGCACTTCGAACAACTTCTTCAAGTTTCGACGGCCAACCAGCCATCAACATCTCAGCATGATCCGCCTAGGGTGCGGTGCATCACTCGCGTCAATTCCGAGGCCCCATCACTGCAGGAGATTGAAGCAGCTATCCGAAGCATGAAATCCAACAAGGCTCCAGGGGTCGATCGCATATCAGCAGAGATGCTCAAAGCTGACCCCATGCTATCCGCACAAATGTTGCATCAACTATTCTGTAATATCTGGGACACCGTGACTTTTCCGGCCGACTGGATGCAGGGCATCTTAGTGAAGGTCCCAAAGAAGGGGGATCTGACTGTGTGCGACAATTGGCGGAAGATCGACGCGACTCTCCGCCGGCAGCAGGCAGGATTCCGTGCCGGAAGATCTTGTGTGGACCATATTGTCACGCTCCGCATCATCCTGGAGCAGGTCAATGAATTCCAAGAGTCCCTTTATTTGGTATTCATTGACTACGAAAAAGCTTTCGACCGTCTCAATCACGAGAATCTGTGGGGCGCCCTGAGACGCAAGGGAGTCCCGGATAAAATCGTCAACCTCATCGAAGCGCAGTATGAGGCTTCCACGTGCAGAGTTCTGCATAACGGAGCCTTGTCCGACTCTATCCGGGTAGTCGCTGGTGTGAGACAAGGATGTATACTATCACCGCTACTGTTTCTCATCGTAATCGACGAGATCATGGTAGGTGCAATTGACCGTGTACCGAACCGTGGGCTGCTTTGGCAGCCTTTCACCATGGAGCATCTCAACGACTTCGATTTGGCTGATGATGTTGCTCTACTAGCACAACGGCGCTCTGATATGCAGAGTAAGCTCAATGACCTAGCCGAACGCTCCTCTGCGGCGGGTCTCACCATCAACGTCAACAAGACCAAATCGTTGGATATCAACACGGGCAACCCTTTTAACTTTACGGTAGCGGGGCAAGCAGTGGAGAACGTCGAAAGTTTTCAATATCTTGGCAGCCAAATAGCGTCGGACGGCGGGACCAAGAGCGACATAGGTGCACGAATCAAGAAGGCTAGGGCTGCCTTTGCGAGTTTACGAAACGTATGGAGATCCAACCAGATAAGTCAACGCACCAAAATCCGAATTTTCAACTCAAACGTGAAATATGTGTTGTTATACGCCAGCGAGACGTGGTGTGTATCAGCGGAGAACACTCAAAAGCTGCAGGTCTTCATCAACCGATGCCTGCGGTATATAATTCGTGCCTGGTGGCCTCACAACTGGATCTCGAATGCCGAGCTCCATCGTCGATGTCATCAGAAGCCGATAGCAACAGAAATTCGAGAGCGAAAGTGGAGGTGGGTCGGCCACACACTTCGACGGGGCGGAAACGAAATCTGCAAGCAAGCGCTGGATTGGAATCCGGCAGGACATCGCAGCAGAGGCAGACCCAGAGGCTCATGGCGGCGGAGCCTCAATAAGGAAATTAAGCAAGTCGATAGGAATCTGACCTGGGCCCAGGTCAAGGCAAAAGCGAGCAGCCGCCCAGGATGGAAGTCTTTCACGTTAGCCCTTTGCACCGCTGGTGGTGCACAGAACCCTTAAGTAAGTAAGAAAATCCCTCCTTTCTACACATTTTCCAGCCATTGTATCCCTGTCTTATTATCCACCTGTTTCTGTGCTACTTGCCCCTGCCCAGCCAGCATTTGGTCAACCGTCGCCACGAGTAATTGGTAATGTTAGTTAAAAAATTAAGGATTTTTGGCTCCGCAAAGTGTCACACACGTTCTGCAGCTCTTCTAGTGATTATGGGTGAAACTCCATTAAATATGCTTTGCAAACACGTAAATAAGCGCTGTTGGTCATATTATCCCATAGCCCCCCGTACCCTATAAGAATTTCATTATTCTGTAATAATTTTTATCACAAAAATAATGCGAATTTTTTTCCCAATTTTGTCAGCCTAAAATTTGAGCAGGAGCTGACAAAATCGGGAAAGCACTGTATTACACTTATTGCCACACACAATACGTACACGAATGCAAACAATTGCAATATAAAGAGACGCAAAACCATGCTATTCCATCAAAATGTTCAAAATCCAGAAGACGCCTGCCGATACACTGTGGTTCCAAAATATTATCTCGAGATCAACACAATGATACACCCTGTTGCTCTATCAAAAGCCATAATAGTATGGCGCAGTTTCCCCCCAGCATCCAACACTCGAACCATAGCACTGTTTACAAAACAAAGATGCAAAAAGATTAATCTCTCAAAGTAAGAATACTCACCTAACAACGTGTACACGATTCCGAACACCGCAATCGTGGTCCAAAGTAGCACCGAAACCGTAGAATTGGTCGAACTTGCCGTCGTACAAAGTGGATTTTCCATTACATTCTAAAATAATAAATAAAAAAAACAACAAGAACGCATTGGCACCGTGCAACATCACCCCTAAATAACCTTCCCCGTTCGTTACCTGTATCAGGAAAGGCCACACAATGGAGTTGTCGTATTTGGAGTCCACGGACGCGCCGGTACTGGCGTTTCGCAGCAGGAAGTGCCGCCCTTCTTCGTAACGATAGTGCATTTTGGCGACTGGTTTGCGGAATCTATTCCTGGAAGCGTGACGGAGAACGAGCTTTGTTTCTACAGCTTTTTCCTACACAAGTATCCTTGACATCAGCCGTTCACTATTGCGATGCACATCTCCTAGGGCTCCGCTTTCTCTTTCACTCGGCAGATTCGTTTACAAGTGCTGCCTTCCGGTGAATACTCAGCAAATTTAAGGACTTAATCAACGCTATTGTTCCACCCAGCACTCAGATCGTTATCGCCATTCGTTTTTTTTTCCAAGAGGAAAACTGTGAAAGCTCTTCCACTCGACTAATAGTGTGCCTTGTGCTTGTTTATCTTCGCAGCATCTTCATCCTTTGTCCGCGCCTTTCGCTATGCAATGCACACAAACACCAACACAAACAGACGCGACACTGTTTTCGAATCTAGCACGACGTTTATACAAAACATTCAACCCGCACATCGCAGAACACCGCGCACATGTGGTGGAAAACGTGACTCCCCATCTGCACCGACCTTCACGATTTTCCTCTTTATTTTGACGCCAATTTCCCCTCCGAAGTCCGAATCGACGAAGAAGTTGCCTACTGTGCGGAAAAACCAAACACAACCGCAGCCAACTTCACTGCTCTCAGACTACACTTTGACAGCAAAGGAAGAATATCGATTTTCCGCGCGCTCGTTACACAAACACTGCAGTTTTCGCACTCCCACCAGCACCACGCGCCTCCTTCTCTATCGACACTGTTTTGGCAGATCCCATATGAGGTTTTTCCTCCCTGTGCCTGATGATGGCATTGTTGTTACTCTCACTGTAGAACTGGTACACTCCTTCCTTCCTAATTTTCCCGTTCTCCTTGCTTCCACTATGGCAGCGAATCCCTTAGTGCAAAAATTGGCTTCATCCAAATCTTGGTCAAGGATGCTTGACCCTAATTGCACCGATATATAAAACCAAATTGATTTAAATTTTTTCTATTCCTATAGTAATGCGGAACGACTTTCTTTGTTCACATGCACACTCACTGGTACTTTCTTTTCTCATCGAAGCAACGTTCAGATGAAACTTTTTTTTTTTAATTTGGACGGCTGATCGAAAGCCAATTTCCTCAAAATACCCTTAAATTTAACTCTTTCAACTAAAACCAGGAACTACAAAATTTTCCAAACTGCAAAAACGATCACATCCCATTTTTGCTTGTTTTCCAGTGCGTTCCTGCCTACACGAATAACTCACAAAACGGTACCGTTTTTTTTTGTTTTTGGCAATTTCCGATGCCTAGCTTAGAAGGGAAGACCGAGAGGTTTGGCCAAATTTTGAACTATTTTTACTAGATTGCAAAATCTTCAATTTCTTCAATTTGATAATAGGTTCAGCACAGCAGCAAAACAGGGTGGGGAAAATCCTGTTTTTCATTCACTAACCCATATCGTGGTATGACGACTGCGATGCGAGGACCAAGTGACTGACTGACTGACGGTTGTTGGCAGGACGTTTGAAAAGGGGTGGAAAGTCCTGTGCAAATTTTCCTCCTCTCTTTATTTTCGTCCTTACGTCAGTGGGGAGAGGTTGATCGATTTTATGCTCCTTGGAAACTCAAATGGATCGTTGTTTGGAAATGGTGGTGTGTGTAGTGGAGACGCTTGGTGAATTTTGAAAACAAATCTGCCAACAAATCAGAAACAAAAGTGAGCATGCTGGTCTGCATATGAAACAGTTGACATGAATTTACTAAAGATAACTAAATTAGCTACCCATGAGCCACGTAGACATAGACAGTTTAGGAGGAGGACAGTCCTCTCTACAGATATAGATACAAGGAGTTACAGATTCTGCAAGTTATAGCAGTTACTGACACTGCATTACACAAAACTGTTCTACTGTGATATCACTGACAGCTCACATCCCAACTAACAATTTTAGCTGCAAAATAGCTCATACAGCAAAAAGTTTGCTTATTCAGCTGAAAAAAAGATCGCAGTGTGCTATGCTTGCGGATGGACGTGTGTTTTTTTCGGTCACTGATTTTTCGTTAGCTTCTGTCGTTATTGTCATAGTTTGTTTGCTATTGTTTTGTAAATTACTAAAATTATATGCTTATTATGCTTGTGTTTAGAATATTCCTTTTTTTAAGATAATCCATAGTCGATTAGTGATGTGTGCATGGAAGATTTTGGACAGTAGCTGCTGCGAAAGAAGCATCTATTAACAAGAAGAGGAGGACGATGGCAACTTTAATGCCTTGAGCTAGGGGCAAGTACTCTGAGCTCATAAATTTGCATTGAGTAACTGCGAGTTACTCGTATTTACTAAAAAAAAAAACGAAGTAGCCTCAATTTTACTTTTTTCAAACTGTTATAATATTCCGAGTCCATAGAATATCCGGTAAGCCCGTATAACATCCAAACAGAAAGTAGAGCTTCCAAAAAGTCCGTAAAACTTCCTAAAAATCTGTAGAAGTTCCAAAAAGTATTTTTTTTTTCTGAGATATGTTTTCCATACTGAAAGCCACACACCTGACTCCTGACTGGTTTACGCATCGCATGCCACTATGTATGTATGTAAGGTAGCCACCATCCCTTCGAAGATCTTGTCTTGTATGCAGCTCCACTTAATAGCAAGATCAATTTGAGCTACCGATCTGAATTCACAATATCGCTGTATGAAGGGCCAAAAACGGTGGGGTGGACCCGTAAGCAGAGGCACTTACGCGAAATCCACGGGAATTTAAGAATCTCCTTCCAACGATACGATCCAACAAATCGAATAACGCAATTCGCAATACTTATTAAGCTTCCTACAGGATGGTTTGTTAAGAAGGGCGCGTCAATCTCCATGAAACTGTTGGAGTAGAATTCACACCATCACAATCGAATCGGTAAGATAAAGAAAATGATAGTGTTTATTCCCTCCTAGACTCCGGTTGTCATACCACTCCAATCGTCCAGTTCCAGGTCAAATGATACCCTGATGCTCCCTCCCAACCCAGTATTTATTTATATATATATATATAGTAAACATATGTAATGGAGAAATGAAATATATCAGAACATTAAAATACGTAATAATGAAAATACATTTATATGGATAAAAAACTGGTATTCCGCAATGAAAATAATAATTATTTTACATACAATATGATGCAGCTCTATGTCTCCTCAGCTCCCAATAAGGAAGATGTAACCCTGAAATTTCCAGGTTATATTATGCAAATAAATATTTTTAGCTAGAATGATACATGATATGTTTGTGTTGTGTTATGTTGTGGGAGAGCTTGGGATTAAACCCATGATATTCTGCTCATTAAGCAAAACCGACCCCTCTAAGGTTATCGAGCATCTCAAAACCAAAACACTCCACGGCAAAACATGATTAAGCCCTCATCTGGTAATAAACAACAGAAATACGCGATAATTCATATAGTTTCAGCATATGATGCAATATCACAACTGTTGATAAAAGGAACGGATCCCATCTTATTTAAGACCTGGATGACCTGAAATGTGTGTAACCGGGTTAATACTTATTTAAATGTAATGTAATATTGAAAATGCGTTATAATGCCATGTAACAAGATACAATAAACACAAGATTTTTACAAAACAGATAATGAACGATTCAGATTTCTTCTCAAGCTGGCACTATGCTTCCCTGGAGCCGCTCATAATAGCTAACATTAAGAATTAAGTATAATAAAATGTAATGTACAATAATATTAAATGATGTAAAGTTAATAATGAAAGATATGTAGTACTATAAACACTATACATATACGATAACCAATAGCTAGCTTAGCTTAGATTGACTGCACATATCAATGGTTGCTACTCCGTGATTGATCAGAATCAGTGAAATTGTACAATGAATCAACTGAATGGGGCTGGGAGTGACCGTCCATTCTCATTGTACAAGTTTCAGTGACTCTATATGTTGTAGATCAATAACGGCGCCGGCCACGTCCTTGCAATCAGGTGGGAGTAGGGAAGGAATATTAGAGTGACCTTTGTTGTTTGTGGGCCGTGTTTATCTCTGCACTCCAACAAAAGACACAGAAAAGGAGATTTTGTTAGTAAGTTGGGTTCGTTGGATCAGGATTCACCTTGATAAGTGATGCGACCATGGTTTTAAATGAATCAGTGCATTATACTTGGATTTGCCCGAAGCCAAAACCAAATGGTGTATCCTTGGGCCTTATTTCGGGTGTCACTACACGGTGATAAGCAAGTGATACTCAGAATAAGAGCCGTGATTGCCGTACAAATCAAATGGGAATCACTTCACCGTGACGACAAGTGACAACTTTTCACCGTGATGTGACACCCTTAATAAGCCTCATTATAATATAAATCTGAAGACGTTCCATCATCGAAATGCTGAAAATAAACTTAGAGCATAGCATGAGCAAAATTGATCGCCCGTGACTGCCAACACCAAAGAGCTGAAAACCAATTCAAACAAATCAAATCAACAGACAAAACTAGGGTGAAAGCTGTAAGAGTGAATCATTACAGTATAAATCTAATGATGTTCCGTCATCAAAGAGCTGGAAGAAAACTCAAATAATTTAAATCAATAGATCCAGTCTGAATGAAGGCTGCAAAAAGAGAATAATTATACAGCAATGACCCCATTTTGTCAGCTAGCAAAGTATATGTATCTTAAACATTCATCTTGAAGGAGGAAGGTATGAAATTACAATTATGTGGAATTATTGAAAAATAACAGTCTGATGCGCGGAGAGGTTGACAGGATCGGGTCATAACTGTAATGTGAATATTAGAAAGATTTATCATCATCAAACTATTCTTGAATTGACCTGGAAGAATGCTTGTGAATAATTGTTATACAGATAAATTAAATTGATAAACTAAATGGTTCAAACAACAACTCCAACCCTAGGGGAAGGACAGCTCCAAGTATCGGCATCAATACCGGTGATGGAAATATTAAATATTTTAATATGTGTGATATTTGCGAATCTTATACTTAGTCTGACAGTTGTTTGTTTGTGTTTGACTATGTTTGGTTTTAAGTGTACATTTGACATTCGTTTAATTAAAAATGGATTTCACATTAGAGGCAAGTCTTTCCTTGATGATCTTGCTGGCCACCGCCACCGAAATCCACTCCTTGTTCTAATAAATTCGACCGCACTTCCGTTCCACGGAAATAGCCATTAATTTCCACGTCTGCGAATCAATGTACTGCCCTCCGATGGAACGGGAATCGACTGACTACGCCGTCCCTGTAAACGGAGTCCCAGAGTGATGGTTCCGTGGTCGTATTACCCTCGTTTCGCCATGAGCCTGTAACCTGGAGAGATTTGCTGCTGGGGGAACGTCCAGTGTCGTTTTTATCATTAAAAGCCCAAGCCGAAAACGATCAGAGCTATCGAAAACGAAAATCTAGGCAAAAATGATGACCAACAGAAAGCTGCAGTAAGCATAAACAACAACGGTGAAACGTAATTGAATGTATGCGTTAAAGTTACACTGTTATTTTTTTTTGCTTTGTAGCTTTCCGCTTGACAGTTAATATCATTAATATTTATACTAAAATCTATAATAATTTCCATTTTATGCAATTTTTACACCAAATATTACTTCAGATCAAGTTGTACTTCCCCTAGCTCCAACCTGTAAAAAAGCTGAAAATAGGGAATCTTTACAATGTGGATCCCCCAAGGTCTTCTACTCAGTACACAAAAGCGGCACCCGAATAGAAATTGTAATGTAGGAAACATCAGCAGACATCTTCAATACATTAAATTTTAACGTTTATTGCTGTACCCTTAATGTATTCAGACTTCAGTGTGACGTCCAAGTACATAAAAATACATTAGCCTCAAACGTTACATCAGAATCAAACGTCTTGACGATGTAAAATTTGACATCAGAATACATCCAATGACAACAGAACCTAACGTTACATTAGAATCAAACTTCATCACGATGTAATTTGTTGCACGCATAAAACATCAGAATACATCCAATGACAACAGAACCTAACGTTACATTAGAATCAAATTTCATCACGATGTAATTTGTTGCACGCATAAAACATCAGAATACATCCAATGACAACAGAACCTAATGTTACATTAGAATCAAACTTCATCACGATGTAAATTGTTGTCCCTCGGTCCCTCGCCGCATGCAAAGTTTGCTTTGTCCTGAGTCAGCACTACAAGGCAAATGAGAACGACCCAAATTTGAGTTTAGTTCACTCATAATTCGCAAAAAGTGCAGGAACTCAGTTTTGAGTTAATTTTCCTCATGTTTTCCAGGTTTTTCCAGGAATTTTTTTTCCGAATTTGAGAAAAATAAAGATTGGATTCTCTGGATCAATTTTCCTAATTTTAGGGCAGATTTTTGAGGTTTTTCACAGGAAAGCATGCGGCAAATTTACTCATCCTGCACTTTTTCGATATTGAGTACACTGTACTCAAATTTGCG